AAATTGGTACCTCCATCACAAACAACTCATTTGAGGTTATATCGTTTTTATTTTCAAGAATAATTAATAATTTCCAATGAAAATGAGTGGAAAACAAGATAAATCGACTGTAGATATGTTAAACACCACGTTTAAGAAAAATCGAAATGCCCGGCATAATTCAAAAGTTTTTAATTTTAGTTTTATTTAGACCCAAAAAGTGACATAACCTAAAAATATTTTAATTTACTTATATTTTCAGCAAAAGTATGTTTTTGATCCTAGTTTTCAACTCCGTAGGTAATAATCGTCTTAATAATCACTCGACAACAATAAATATAACCCCCCTTTTCCCTTTCAATCGCTTCTTTAAATCAATGTTAGGGATCAATATCCAAGTATTGTAACTATACAGGGTGAGTCAGAAAGAATACCGGAGATACTAGACACCAAAACATGATGATTTAACCTAACATCTCTTATACAAATGTCAGTGGTTTTCGAGGCACAGGGTGTTGAAAGTTAAATTCTTAGTTCGAAATTTCTTGATAATTTTGAAGCTTTTTGTACTATTAACATAAAATTTAGCAGCTTTATATTTTCGAACACCCTGTGCTTTGAAAAGCACCAACATTTGTATAAGAGATGTGTCTTCGGTATTCTGATTTCCTATTCTTTCTGACTCACTCCGTATATTAAGTTTCCATGGTAACAGTTTGATCAATATTCTCCTTGATATTGACACATAATAAAAATAGTAAAAGTCAGTCAATTTTTCTTAAAAAAATATGCTTTGGGGTTTAACTCCAGCTTTAGATCTTGCGGGAGAACTAAATAGACACGTTCATCTAAATGATGAGGTAAATATTTTACTGGTTGGCAGTTCAGATTGCCGTCACATTTTAAAAACGTTAGCGAAGCGTTACACAAGAAAACACATAAAATTAAATTTTTTTATAATGGAGTCTTGTCAAGAAGCGGTTGCGAAACAAATCCTTTTACTTTATCTTGCCTTACGACCGGAAGAAGAACTCGGAATCGTCCAAAAAACCAGGTATTTTATGGAACTGTACGGAAACAGTATGATTAGACCAGCAGTTGCAAATTACCTATCATCAAGATCGTCGGATTTTGTTGAAATGATCACAAATTATGAGTATATGAACGAAATAATGCCGTTTTTAAAACTGGATATTAAATACAAAGATAGAGATTATATCGAAAATGTTTTTAAATTTTGGGGTGGGATCGATCCATTCGATATTTGCGATTGTTGGGATAAAAGAGTAAGAAAAACTTTAGGGGTTAGATATGATAACAAAAAAGGCGCGTTCGATTGGGATCTTCAAATGAGATTCCATGCCATCGGAGGAAATATTGTTGGAGGCCAGGAATATCAATATTTTCGAAGTACTGGTGTCGCTTTCTCTTGGTTAGAATCGGAAGTTTCGAAACCAAATCGATCAATGGTTACTGGGGTCATTCCGAATGGTGAAAAATTTCTCCATTACGGATATTTAGGTGATATTATTACCGGGCCGTTTGTTACGTACGGTTTGGAATGTTCAGATCCAACATTTTTAACGAAAACCAACAATTTATATGCAAACCGATCAACTGATGTCACTGAAAGGAATTTAAGAGAAATTTTTCATGAGATACATTATAACTCTAATTATACTCACCAAAAAACTAGCGATGTGAACTTAGGGTATTGNTCCATAAAACATAAAGAAAAATTTCACAACTTATTCGATGTGGTATATTTTAATTCGAGTTATATCAAAAATATTGAACAAGATTTAATTGAAAAAATAGCAAACAATCAATCTCTTTTATACATAGAAAATTGCCTTTTTGTTTTAAATTGCAGAGAAAAAGACTTGGAAGAATATAAAAAAAATGTTTTAGATAAAATCGGAGAGTTAGATAAAAAGGAAATAGAATTCAACCCAACAATGAGTAAATATTTTAAGTTTATTATAAAATAATAACGTAATGAGTTATTATTTATAAAACAAGTGTTTTAACAACATATTTGTAATATTAAAACATTTACAGTTAATTTACTTATTTGTAAATAATTAAAATGTGATTACATTCAAATTAAACAATAAACGTCTTACAAATTTAATAATTTAGATTTTCTTGATCCAGTCAATGTCGATTTCTTAACATGGCCGATTTGTTTCCGGTCCAGCCTTTTCATTTTCTTATTTAATCTAGTACAAGCTTTCATCGGCACCTCATCCCATTCAATCCATTTAATATCTAATTTTTTAGAATTCACTTCCATGTTTTTCGTTTTGAAAATATTTAGTTGGAAATTCATTTTCAAAGAATTTTATGTGGTATCTTATTTAGTGATGTTCTGGCTGAACTAATCTTTACTCGTATACGCGTACGATTTTATTGCCAACGTCCAGTTAGTTTTTTGTTACGATATCCTGTTTTGAAATTATTGTCTCTTTTTAAATGTTCTCGGTCTTGTTTCTTCAATACAGTTTAATATATTTTCATTTAATGCATCAAGATTGGTGTACAAACCGAAAAAAATATTCATGTTATTGTTATAAAAATATCACTGTTATAAAACCCTGAAGAAAATCTTGAATAGTTTAGATATGTAAAGAAATAAGATTATAATCTATACGATTCAGCTTAAAATTGCATGAAATACTATCACTAGAACTAACACAAGAAACAGTCGGGTTTAGTCGTGACAAAAACTTTCAGTTGTCAATGTCAACTTTAATTTTATTATTATATTCGTAATCTTCATAAAATAACCTTTAAAGTGAGTCCAAACATGACGCATTTATCTCAAAAACCAAAAAGTTCGATCTTTCAACTATTAATTTTGACATATTTGTCAACTTCATAAGAAATCCTTTAAAATGAGTCCAAACTCGACATATTTAACTTTAATATTAATGGAAATACAATCACTTCCGGTTTGA